TTTTTATTATATATATATATATATATATATATATATATATATATATATCTGTGTGTGTGTATATATATATATATGTATATATATGTATATATATAATATATATAAAAGCTACAGGGTAGCCTGCGATGTTCCATCATGTCCTTATTAAACACTGTATAATTATGTACCTTTGATGATTTATATTATATTATAGCAATGGTTACGAGAGAGTAAACCTGAAACTGAAGTAAAGCCAATCTTCAATGATGTTGCACCCGAAACCTGTATTAAACCACAACAGGAAGATCCCACGTTAAATAACATTAGAGATTTGGCAAAAAGCGGTGTTGAGAAAAGAGTAGGAATTGGAATTGGTAAACAGTCTGTGGTCGATGGTATAATGTGGCGAGAGTTTCGGTCCGTTAAAGTTGATTGTGGAAATATGATAAGGCTGATTTTCGTTCCAAAACCTCTTTGAGAGATGGTAATTAAAATTAGCTCATTAATCCATCTTGGGGGGAAATTTAGGCTCTAAGAAAACAAGTGATAACATTTTGAACAGGTATGGAGTCTGAAATTCGAAGATATTGCCAGTTATGTGACGTATGACAACAAATAATTTCAAAAGGGAGGGTAACATAAGTCTTGTTGGTAGTATGCCCACCGTAGATGAACCCTTTCAAAGAGTTGATGTGGACCTGGTTAAGGCTAATCAAGCCTGAAAGGGGTCATCGTTACATTTTGGAATTGATAGCGGAGTCACTTAATCTGTCCATGTACTCAAGAATTGGGTTTTTCAAAGAAGTGCTTTCCAATCGCGAGTTCCAATTTACTTTTGTGTTAATGGACGAAGTTAATATGTTGCTATCTATTCGTAGTGTCAAAACCACCACATCCCATGCAATGTGCAATGGCTAGTGCAGAGGTTTAACGGAACTTAAAAGTGAATGCTTAAAAAAGTGTGAAGAACAACCTACTGACTGCTGGGGCGGATGCAGGATTTGGCGGTAGGGGGTGCGTGCAAAAATTTGAAGAATTAGTACATGTAGATGGCCGGAAATGACACATTTATAATAGTAAAATTCATCATCACATCACTATATCGTTATATAATCAAAATAAAGCGCCAACAAATTGTCATGATCTTTTTTTTTTATCGGCGATTTTCGGCAACCATAGAGATCTAAGAATTATGTGTGATGAACCATAGAAAATATAACTTAAAAACATTCTCTTTGATATATTTACTTTACCTCAAATGTTGAGAATATGGACCACTGGGTGCCCGAAAATTGCACTCTCATGTACCTTAAAAATCTTACCAATAATTCATATCAACAAATTGATGAATTCAACAGATTAATAAATTAAATTAAATTAAATTAAGAATTGTAAAGCACCTAGAGGGATCTGTGATCTGTTAGGCGCTATATAAATATGGTATTATTATTATTATTATTATTATTATTATTATTATTATTATTATTATTATTATTATTATTATTATTATTAACAATATAATACAACAATTACTTTTCTTAATACAATTTAGGGGGTGCGATCCGCCCCAAGAATCAGTGATGTGGGGTGTTTGCCTATTATACGCAAGGTAAAAGGGGTGTGTCTCAATTAAGTCACCCTATACTTTTGGAGTTTCTGATTGGATCATAGAGAAATTCTTTCTCTATGATTTAATTACTTGTTTACCAATAAGATGCTAATTAAGTTATATTACAAAGACATTTAACAGGTGTGAAGGGGTATCGATGATATACAAATTCCAATGGTTATATAAGTTAATATTTTTGAACCTTAATACTACATTACATTAGCTTAGGCGGCTGAACTGGCGGTAGTCACTCTGTGCGCTGAACCATGGAGGTCTCTAGGTTCAATTCCCATTGCTGCCTCTCCCTGTGTTTCAGCTGGAGAGCTGAAATGCAAGTTACGATAGCACACTGTCTTTCGGATGAGACGTTTAAGCCGTCGGTCCCGTGTGCATTGCAGTACACTCTTCGGAAAAGAGTAGGGAATTGTCTCCCGGTGTACTTCCCAATTCAAGACCATAAGGACTCCACTGGAAACAAGTCTTCGGACTTCGTGGGTTATCCTTGGTGAGATTCACACCGAAATACTCTTATCCCACTAAACCACAACTACGCCCTATATGGAATGTATGAATTAACCTTCGCTTACCTGATGGTTCCGTAGGTCGGTACAAGTAGACTGTTATAACCATTTTAATAAGTAACCCTCTACACGCGCCGTACATCTTTAGAAACCTAGCTGTAACGATTACACCGTAGTAGGTCTACAAATCTGTGACTGTAAAAATCGTTTCCCAAGTTCAGACTCAGTACCCATCTGATGGCACAATTTTTTTTCCCATTTACTTCCTTGTGTGCTTTGTATGCAAATATAAAATTTTCGTTGTTAGCAATTAATCACCGCATGGAAAAGCAAGTATAAAAAAGTTTGCTGCATTACAATACAGTATCTCTGTGGTATATCTTTCGGCTTTCTATCGTCCTAAAAAATCCTTAATTACTTCCTTGTTAGTTGGTAGTTAGTTTTCATATACCTGTAATATCGTATTTTTATATCAAACTCTTCATAAAGTTACTTCAGAATTGCAGGAGTAAGTGCTGTCTCTTATACACATCTTATATTGTTGAGAAAATTCAAATCAGCTTCTGCTTTACATGATTTCTTGAGTACGGTACATTTTCTAGTTTAATTGTATTAGACCAATTACAGTTAACGTGTGGTAGCGTATGCTAATTATATACCGAGTGTTTAGTGTAATTTTGACAAGCTGCCGAAAAGCTGCTATACACCATTCACTGCTAGACGACTGAATCAATGCCAAACCCTTGGCAAAATTTAACCTAGGCAGAAATTTTGATTGTACCCGCTTGCCATAGGACAGGAACAATCCTGTCGTCCAACGAATCAAGAATGTACAGAGGCAAGGAGACCCCGTCACCCATGACGTACTTGCTTCACCAGATGCAGCTGGTGGCCTTTACTGGTTCCAACCAGCATCCGCCCTCAAAGCGCCAGCACTGCTACTCTCTATGCCATAGCCCACGTCAGTTTACTAGGTCTCACGACCTAGGTTAACAGCGTCCAACAACGAGGTTTGCCTTGGTTTGAGTAAGAGAGGCTTTAAACCCAGAGGACGACTTATCTCCCTTTTCGACCACAAAATGTGGTAAGGGTCCACACACTGTGCAGGTATGATGCAGAGCATGGCTTTTTGTGTATGCGAGAAGCATCGTACCCCTTAAAATAAAATTTATATAATAAATATAGATAAAATTATATATATATATATTTAAATATGACAAAAAGTGGACCGGCCAATTAAGTAAATTACCAATCTGAATGAGACATGTAATTGAAAATATTTGTGATGTAGTCCTACAATTCAACATACTGTCAATCCAAGACAACTATTGAATACTCAAGACCAAGTACAGTGGCACTGGCACATCAAAAGGGTGCTGATGAAATGAGTGTGTACACCACTAATTTTATGTATTTTGTACCTTTGGATGTCGTGGCTGAAAACCTTTTAATTCTTTTTATTTTTGACAAATTGAGTAAAAAGAACCCAAATATATTAAATAGGTGCCCGAAAGTGGCACTTAAATACTTACAATTCCCAAAACTAGCAAACATTTTAATAATTTGAGACAGATGTCTGAAAATATTACTTGAATAGTACAAAATCTATGATAAAGAAAAGTAAAGTCATGAATTGAAACCAATGAATAAATACGTACTTGCAACTTTTCGGAAACCTAATATAATGAAGTTATTCGAAGAAAATCTACGAAATCCACCTGAGCACCACCATGGTTTTGGGGCGTAGATGAGTAGATGCCCGAAGACAGCACTTTGATACTTAAAAGTTATGAAAATTACTATCCTCTCAGCCCACCATGGTTGAGGTAAGACAATTCTTAGAATTTGATACATTTAGATGCCAGAAAATGGCACTCTAATACAACAAATCTACGAAAATTACTATATATATCCATCTGAGCCCCATCAAGATTAAGGCTGATATAATGATAAAATTTAATAAATTGGGGACTTACTTCTAGATGCCGGAAAATGTACTTTTTAATACTTAAAATTTACGTCCGTTATTTTTTAACACTTAAAAAGGGGAACATTTTTCCAACCTCTGAAGCACCACCCCCCTCCCCAATGATGCCACTAAAGTAATATTTCTAAATTCATTGCACATATGTACAATTTAGATGTCACATACATATATTTGTCTAAATGAACTTCTAGACAGTTGCTATTTTTATCTGCAAAAAAAACTTACAACAGAACAATCACATCTGAAAATTTCCGAACTGATTATACACAACAATAGTCTTTATTGCCAGTATGCCATATAGTTCCAAGTTTGTGCTAACAAGAGCACCAATTACAATTTTGCAATAATGATAACTTAACAATCCTGAAGTAAAAAAGAGAAGTTTTTGCTACTTCTTAATTACAATAATTACAATATTATTCTATTATATTTAAATTTAAAATAAATACTGTATGCGAACATTAATTTTACATTTCTGTTTTGTTATCTGTTCCCTTTATTATAAATGCTATTCACTTCTTCAGCCTATATCATCTGTTTTATAATCTTCACTATAAATACTACATCCATAGATGATCAGATTAGGCCTACATATCACAATAATCATTAAATTAATGGATTGTAAAAATAAGTTACTCTCCAACAGTACTTGACCATTATATGTACAGTTGAAAGCAGTAACAGTTTCTAACCATCATGGTATCATGGCATAACCATTACATTAGGCAAGTTCAGACGAGATAGAAATAAGCTCTGGTATAGCAGTTTACTTGTCGGAAGCCCTCAGCAATGCCAATAAAAACTCTTCATAAAGTTACTTCAGAATTGCAGGAGTAAGTGTTCTACTTCCGCGTACACAAGAAACGTAAGGAATACATGCTCAGAGCACAGAGTAGATGCACTACTTCAGAGTTTGCAAGTAAAGACAACCTTTATTTATGTAGATGCACTACTTCAAAACCTTTATTATTATGACCTCACTAGAATTTTTTTGAAAGATGATTTTCTACAAAACAGTATTTTGTGCGATATATGAAAATGTGTAGCCATGATGGGTTTTTTTTTTTTATAATTATGAGAATTTGTGCGAAACCACCACTGTAAAACAACAAAAGTGGTGCTTATCCCTTCTGGAATATTTGCATAGTTAATTCTATTAGCTTGAAATGAAAACGCACATTATGTCCTTGGTGGGACCATCATCTGAAGCAACATGTGTGCGTATTTGTACGTCTGTTGTAAAATTACTTTAGTCAGAAGGCCGTCTGAACATGGCTAATGTACGTATCATGGCACCAACAGGTACTAACCATCATTGTAGCATCTACAGAAATATGAAAATATCATACAATATTGGACAACTTACAACATCCAATTGAATCAACCAGTAAAGATATACATTCTAAACAATTTTGTATACACTAAGATTATAATTCAAAGGAATGTTCAGATTACTCATCTATTTTATATTACATCAACTTGAAACTACTTTCAGAAAAATCTTTGCTATTTCCTTGCAGATAAAGTAATCTCACGTTCAATATGTAATATTTTGTTTTTAGAAAACCCTATGAAGTAGAAAATTAACATATATTACAGGTCATGAATTAAGGGACATGAATACTGTATTCTTATTATCTATCAGCCTACACTGGTGTTGAGCCTCCAATGCAAAATAAATTCAATAACAACCATGTTTTGGGGGTTTTGTTTGGTAATTTGTCACAGGTACAATAAATATGCCATATGTAAAATATAATAACGTATCATGTTAGGTAATACAAAGTAGTCATCAAGTCTATAATACAATTTAGGTGCTTCATTCAAAAGATTTAACATCAATTTATCAGATTTGTGCAAACTACATCTTCTTTCTTTGTTTTTCCACCAATAGCGATATACAATATTAAACATTTGCAATTGAACCAGTGCCATATATCTACGATATACGGCACAATTACCTACAGTATAATTTACCTAGTATAAAAAAAAAACTATGACATATTTACCTATTGCACGTTTATGAATGGCATAATTATTTACAAATATTTACCTATGGCTAACACAGTAGCACACTTACGTACAACACAAATGATTTGAAATTTACATATGGCACATTTACCTATGACATATTTATCTAGCTCGATTACCTATAGCACAATTACTTGGCATATTTACCTATGGCAGCCCTACATTTTCCCATGCCACAATTATCTTTAAGAACTGATTCAATGAATAAAATAGCAACAAGTATAAACAAAGGTGGCAGATATGTAAGCTATATTACTTAAAAATGATGTTTACTCATAATTACTTATTATTCATAATAAACGCCTCCCTTGAACAAATGCCCTTCAAAAACCCTTCTAACCAATAAATGTCCTGGGGCATTTATTGGAATAAATATCATACTAAACCCACTTTACAAGTATCATCCAAGACTATAATCAAGCAGTTGTCTGAAGTCAATGAACAGTTAAATGTCTTCTTTAATATTTCTTGTCTTCATTTCATATGTTCCAATTTGCAACTTTTTACAGTACGTGTTCATATTCTTTAAACATTAACTGTCAATTTCACTTTTTGTCATTCTTTTCAATAGTACAGTATGTCACACTGATTATTCACCATATAACTGAATGAATGAAATGAATAAATTTCTTATATACACGTTTGTATAAATACATATTGTATGAGGCAAATTTGATGCTGTCTGTGTTTTGCCACCGGCAATGGAATGGTTTGTATAAATAGCTTTAATAATAGCGACTTATAGTGAATTCATGATTTTCATTTTTGAACAAATTACTATTATATAATATATTACAAAGTCCTAAGGACAGAATAAATGAATGTGAGCCTAACTTAAGTGATGTCAATAACAACAGTACCAGTTGTTTACTTCAAATAATGCTTGAAATTAAATAATTCTTTAAAAAAATGTACTACAATCACAGTTTGAAAAATGTAATTAATACACACCCTTGTACATTGCTAATATTCAGAATATGTGCCAATGGCCTGAAGTACCAAAATAAGAGTAAGAGAAATTCAACATCAGAGTTTTATAAATAGGTTTCTGAGAACTCTTCATCTGATCCATGAGGCGCATTAATTTTGACTCCTATGTTGGTAACAACAGTCCCACTGTTTGTATAAGTAGATACAAAAGCACTATCATCAAAAGAGATTTGTCCTGGTGAAATTTTACCCGGTGCTAACCGGTTGCCAGATTTAGATTTAACAGTGGTTTTATCATCACCATCAGCTAGGGATCTTTTTTTCACCTTTTGCTCAATAAGACCTGTTAAATGTCGTATATGCTCTTCTTTCTGTGAGAAACAAAATAAAATGTTTTTTTATGTACAGTATAAAAGGTAATGTACATTTTTATAGTAGAGATTGCAGAAGATATTTGGAGGTAAGGGTTGGGGGAGGAGAAAGCATGGATGTGACACAACAATTAATAATGAACAATGCCAGCTGACTGCTGCAAAACATAAAGGAAAATAAATGATCATAGTTTGAGAATAAGCAATTCATTTTACTAAAAACATACAGTACTTAGGGAACAATCAAAATTTTTTTGTTGTTGAAGCAAAGATCCCAATAACATTAAAGTTTTCTGTAATGTACTTTTTAAAACACAGATGCAGTGTAAAAAAAAGTATGATTAATCACAATCTTTAGTTGAGAATTTTACAACCATGAGCTCAGTAGTGGAGAATGAATATTTTAAAGTGAGTCCACAAATCAAAGCGGTGATATTAGAATACTCTCAAAACTCAAAATTACTACAGTATTTGGAAACACATAAATTTACTAATAATAACTTTTGGAAGGCAGCTCATACTTGATAATTGTAGTAAATAGTATAGTAAAAATTATCTATTCTTAGTGATTCTTACATGAAATCAACCAGTCTTTCATATTTGTAGTTTTATTTCACTAAAATGTGACCCAAGCTCACAAAAGGGCTGTAAACTCGCACTGCACTGTATTGAGAAACAAGCCTTAATACTCAAAATAGGGAGTAGAACGTGAATTTTGTGTGAATTTGGTTTTTAAATAAATAAGTATAACTATTAATCTTACTATTCCCAAAGTTTGAGTTTAAAATTCCAACTGTAAGAGGTAAAATTTAGCCATTTTCGGATGGGAGCTAGTGAAAAATGAATAGAAACCTGCCGAAAATAAAAGCATTTTTTTCAAAACTTGATTTAAGAAAGTTGATAAGATGACAATTATTCAAACGGTCATAACTTTGGTTCCAGACACCCGATTGAGTTTATTTAACTGTCATTTTAAAGTAAACAAAAACTCATTTTGGTCTGAGGACGAGTTTACAGCCTGTTTGTGAGCTTGGGTCACAAATGATATTTGAACTCGGGTGTCATTTTGATATTTTCACTTTTACCTTTACCCTTTACCTATTATGCATAATCACTGATAGTTAATTGAAGAATACTTTGTTATTCTCATTCTACACACACATGAAAGGGAATAAATCATGAATACTAATAAGCTCTTTCAACAGAACTAATAAGCAAGTACAAAAAAAGAGGATTTTTTTGTACCAGAACTGAATATTAAATAAGTATATGAGGATTGCCATTCCAAAACCAGCGTACTGTCGCTAAATGTTAAACTGAGTAATTAGCATAAGAATGAGGCAGTATGGTATATGTCAGTACAGAGAAGCCATAACTTTGGCAACAGTATCTTGATTTCAGTAAATGCCACGTCACTTTAAAGGTTACCAGGTGAAGAATAAGAATATATTAAAAAGTCAATCTTCATTTTTTGGTCACTGATACTGGTTTTGGGATGGCATTAACTATCAAATTATTTATGTGTCTTCTTTGAAGCAACTCAATCAAAACGTCCAGACATTCTCAACAAACAAAAGTTCTTTTCAGTACTCTACGTGGTCTACTGCAAGCATTAAATATATTATTACTTTGCCATGCAAACATTTCAACAATATTTCTTCATAATTTTTGTGACATTTTTGTTAGACTTGTCTTTAAAGATATTAGAAAATTGCTATATATTCAAAGAAATTTTAACGCTGCACCTTCCTTTACTATGCATGGCAAACAATTGAACACACGAAAACAATTATAAGGCATGCTTGATTTGAGAATGTACAGTACCTCTGCTATCTGTCTCTTGATTCCTTCATTCTCTGATGTTAATTTTATTTGTTTTTCTGTATCTTCTTTGCTTGGAAGGTGTTGAAGGTATGCTTTGTTATAGTCACCTGATGGATTCTTATTCAGGTAAAGTATCTGTAAAATGATATCATAATCATAAGGACTAGAAACATAGACAAAGTGTTTGCTTCTAGCAAACCTGTGGACAACAACATAATCAAAATACAGACATAAATAAAATTTGAGCACTTATAATTTATTTTTATATTATTAGGGAGATTTCGCAACTTTACGAAAACAATAAGGAATACCAATACATCATTATCGTCATTCATGCCTCAAACATTCTTGACAATATACTGTACAAGCTAAATATGACCTTTGATTCATGCAGACATGAATCGCCTACGCTGTGGTGACATATATGCTACTCTGGGGGATGGATTGTCTAAAAATTTAATAATGTCACCATATTCATTTTCATAAAGCTTGTAAAAACTCCTATAAAAGGAATGATTTGATGTTAAAACCTGAATAAATGAATCAGTCAATTTGATTTAGATGTTATCCTCAATCGGGCCAACATATCACAATTACATAAATATACATAAAGTTGGAAATTGAATGAATACAAACAAACCTAATCTTAAATACAGTTCAAACAAAGCATCACTTTGCATATATCATGAAATGATAGATGCTATTCTTTAAGGACAGATGTATAACAGACCAATCAGAGGGCTGCCATGTGAAATATAAAGCAAATACAAGAGAAATTTATTTATATAATTTAAACAACCATTATACACCTAAAATCTTTGAGAAATCATGACTTCCACTTAGATTGGCATCATCTACTTTTTAAATACAGATTTCAAGAATATCTTGGTAACAAATTACTTACTTTTGGCACAAAAATGATGCCCAGTGTTATAGCACAGCATATTATGATGGAGAATGAGACAAAGCCAAACACTGCATTAGGTTGCGTCCTAATAATTGATGTCACAGGAGCTGTGATTATACAAAGTACCTAAAATAAAATCAATTAAACATATCAAAAATCTATAATGAAATTTAATGTTATATGTGAACATGGAGTATTAAAAGTTGTCGTATGAAGTGTACATGCATGTCGATGAGTGGCTTTGATGTTTACATGAGCTAACAAAGACATTCCAAAACATCTGAATACGGAGAGATGGGACTGTAAATGCCATCATTTGAAACGCCTATACAGCTTCACAAGGGCTAAAGCAAACAGAACTGAACAAGGGTTACAAGAGTACCAAAAGTAAAGAGCTCTGTAAAGGTCAATGTACCAATGGATGGATGGACGGTGGGCCATACACCGGGAGACAATCCCCTACTGTTTTCCAAAGAATGTACTGCGTTCTTTAATGTACACATGGGCCAACTGCACATGAGACCAATGGCTCAAACATCTTATCTGAAAGGAAGTGCGCTATCGTAAATTGCATTTCAGCTCTCCAGCTGAAACACAAGGAGAGCATGTGATGGGAATTGAATCGGGAACCAAGAGATCTTCACAGTTCGACAGCGCACATGCAGTGGTAACAACCAGTTTAGCCGTCTGAGCTAGTTGCTCTCATCTATAGCTTTAATGGTCCTTTTGATAGAGATTATAATAATATATTTATTTCCTCAAATACAAAAGGGCGATGCTGAAGAGGAACAAGTGTCCTATACAAGATTTAGCAGCCCAAAAGATTTGGATGCCCCAAAACTTTACTTAAATGGTAACTTACATTTTAAACCTCTATAGCTGAAATGCATAGATCATGGTGGATAGAATTGAAACAAGAATTTAACTTTCAATTGTCAGTAAGCTGTGTTCCGCTACCTTTGTTGTGTGTATGCACGAGTGGGTGTATTTGTGTGGGTTTTTGGGATATGTGGCCTGTGGGAGATTGCAAAAGGGTTTGTCTGCATAAATAAATGAAGAGAAAATATATTATGAGAATATACAACTTCTGGGTGCCGAAGGGTACAAATGTTTATACTTCATTGAATAGGTTATATTCTAAGTATGCGTAATACATATTCTATCAAAATAATGTTTTTGCCAAAAAACCTTACCACAACATTATATATTGCCATGGCAACATATTTGGAGTCATTGATATCTCTGACAGCCATATTACGAGTTTCATACGCAAGAAAAATTCCAAAAAGTAAAAGAAGTCCATTGATGGCATACAATGTACCTATAAAAAAAAATCATAATTAACAAAATTAGTTGGTAGCACATTTATGACAGTGTTAACTATCTCAATAATTTTTTTCCTTCTAAAAGCGGTGACACAGTTAAGAGTTCTTTGGGCCCTACTGGAGAGACAGGTCTGAGTAAAGGCTAGTATGAAAAAGCCCTGGCCAATTTGGCGTTCGTCACATTTTCAGGCCAATGTTCTGGTACAAATATAGCCCAGCTGTCCTTGCCAACACAAGGACCTAAATGAAAATGAGACTTTTAGGCTTTTATGGGTTATTTAGGCTTTTATGGGTTATTCTTGGTGACGTGCAACACACCAAAGAAACCAAATGACCAAAATAAGATATATACCATTCGAAGAAAGGCCTTGAGAATATGGTATATTAATTAATTTGGAAAGTTAGAAAGCTAGTGAGTGACAAACACTTCATAACCATGTTCTCATACCTAACCAGATTTTAAGTGAATTTGATTCACACATTTCTAGAACTTCTTTGATCTTTTCATCTTTTTCTTTATCGTCCTTAGTTCCGAAGCTCTTTGGCTTTAATGTTAATGGGTCTATAGATTGCCAAATGATCAGAATAACAATGTCCAGGATAACTTTCACACCAATTAATGTGTAAATCTTCCAAGTTGGAACAATCTGTTAAAAGAAAAACAAATAGCAATCACAATAATAATAAAATTAATTATTTCATCATGTGCGGCCGGATGGGAAAATTGTTGCCACCAAAGAAAATAAATTAAAAATCCTATGTGTACAGCCCGCCTACCACCTTTGGCTAGAAAACCCTTTACTGTTAAGACCTGATGCGAATATATGTAAAAGGTAACATAAAAACTGAGCTCCGACCCATTTTAATGCCCATCCGTGCTTTAATGTTAATAGTCAATTCCCAGACCAAATCCAATTTTTAAAACCTAACACTACTGTACATACATTCCACACACGCAGCAAGAAAGCAGTGTTTTCATATTCAGCCACGAAAAATCTGGGCTAAAGAGACGTCATTAGTAATCTCCAGATGAATTATTTGCAATGTAAAATAATAATGAGGGGAAGCAGAGGCCGCTAGGTGGAAGTTTACTTCCCCGAGAGCTGATTTAATGGGATTATTAATTGTAGTTTGCTAAGTGTGGTTACATCAGGGAGATAATTGTAACACAGATACATGCAAATAATAAATTGTGAATTTGCGGGAGACAGGTTTAGGTCCCAGGAGTATGGGAACCATGCTAGGAGACTCGTGGGAGACTTTGAGCCTCTGAAGTAGCAGTAACATGTTATATAACCCAATAATGAATATTTTATATAAACCACTAAAACTAACAATAATAAAAATGTTTATAATAATAATATGTTAGATTTATATAGCGCTTATAATGCCAACAAGGCCTCTAAGCGCTTTATGATTTTAATGATGTTGATAATAAATGAATCAATGTGTAAGTTCATTGATTTACAGCAAATAAGTGAAGAGAAAGGAGGGTTACCTCTATGCTAACTTTTCGTCTCTTTGTTTTGTCATCTTTAACATTCTTCTCCTTAGTAATCAATTGGTGGACCATCCAGATCTTACCAAATAGGGCTCCATAACCAAGACTAAATCCAATGCTAAGTAACCAGGTAGTACTCTGCAAACAAACACATTTGCTTAAAAATAAAACTAATATTAATAATAGCAATATAGAAACAAAGTTACTTTAGTTTTCTTAATCCACTATAAATAACATTTTATGAAAGCTCTCATCTTTGTGAGATATTTGGTATCAAACTTCATTTATAGTCTCATCAAATTCTTTATACCAAACTTAAATTAACTTCTTAAGTTTTTTTGTTATTAATTTTATTTTAATTAAGTAAAAAAACAAGTATAAAATAACAAAAGAATATACAATTATATATCACTTAATAATGTATGAATGAGTACTGTAGAAAGTCATATTTAATTGCATTAGGAATTCCTAAATACATATATCCAAAGCGACAATAACACCTATGACCAGGTGGTAAAAGGAACACACCTGGCAAATCTTGGGAAGTTGGACCATACTGTTCTCCAAATACTGCCCATCCAAGCCAAACAAAAACACACACATTAAGCACAGGAGACAGCCTAGAACCATGATGTTGTTAACACCTGCTTGGGAACATTCTAAATACCTGTATTAAATGAAAAAACCAATGCATAATAATAATAATAATAATAATAATACGAAATGATGTTTGCCCTACCAGACGTGTGCACAGTACATTCCCATCAAAGAATTTGAGGAATATCATAAAACCAAAATAAGACTTTGAATTGCTACTTTAAATAAATCACACATTGTATTAATTTATTTATTTGTTCTTTACTCTGGGCAACATGTTATTAACTTTCAAAAAAACATGTGATTTACAATTGAATTTGCTTTCAGAAATTATTGATATAAGAAAAGACTGCAAAGATAGTATTTTATAAAAATTAAGTTAATTAGCAAGGAATTTGTTTCTATAAGATCAAAGCTAATAACTTTACCATCACCTACCATTTCTGATTTTTCGACCCGTGATTTTTCATTTGTATATCGGCCAAGAAATCCTTACTAAAGTTGTATTTAAAGTATTTATGCCATTATAAAAAAGCAAATTATAAACAGATTTATTGTACAGATGAAACAAATTAATTGTAAAAAATCTTTTAAAGCCAGGGTTAAACAATTATAAACAGGAATCACTAATATAGGCTACTGCAAACTGTGGTTCACCAGTTTGATGTTTGATATGGTTTTTTAAATGGATGTGATGCTAAACAAGTACAATTTATATACTGTATATATTTTTAGGCCATACAGTACTGTATTATTGCTACCTATGTATATTTGATTTCATACACATTACAAATACAAATATAGCAAATATATGATTTTTTAACTATATTTACAATTTTGATTCATTATGTGTAGGTAGTTATAACATTTATGAATATATAATATTTAAGAGTACAATTATCTAGGTCAATACACATTACCAATACCCTTGAAAGCAAGACTCAATTACGTTCATCAACTCTAATGCTTTCTTCTTCATAAATGTTTGTCTATATTCTTTTCAGTAGTAATGGAGTTGAATATACTTACTGAGTGTGGCTGAAAAGGATGTTGAAAACGAGGAAAATGAATGCGAAGATGATAATAATGCTGCACAATATACACACTGGAATATACAGCTTCTTGCTTATTAACTGATACTCAATAATCTCCTGTACTCCATCTTTGGGAATCTTCCCACCTACAAATACACAGTAAATGAATATAACTATACTGATATCATTTACAGGGAAAGAGTAGAACCAGTGGGTTTTAGGCTACAATTCTAAGGTGAGTTATATGGATGAGCGGCTAGCAGGGGCGCTGCAAGCTACAGCCATAATATCGCCACTGGTTGAGCGACATGCTCTGGTGGTAGAATGAGTCTTCTCGGATAAGGACTATAAACCGTAGGCCCAGTGTATACAATGGCTCGTGTGCACTAAAAAGAACCCAGTACATCATTCGAGATGAGTAGGGGGATACCCAGGTGTACTGGAACAGACAGCCCCTGTGGTGGACGACGAGAGTTGCTGGTACCGGATTACAGGTAGCACAGACACGAAGGGACCTTTAGGGGTAAAGGATCGAGTTCCTAGTCCACATATCAAGCGCCCTAAGTATCTTATGTTTGATGGATATGGCGATATATAAAACTACACTATTAATTCACCTTCATAATTATAATAATAACTGTTGTTTAAGTGCAATTTTTGGCCTAACTTAATTATGTTTAAAGTGTAATATTGTTTAATGATGTTTGATTTTCTGTTTTTATATTTGCATATCCTTAGTTATCTTTTATTTATTATTACTATATATGTTATTAACACGTAACACTGCCAGTGGAATGTAACTTCAATAAAATTATCTTGAATCTTTGAATCTTGAATGTGAGCATTGCTTTAATTTTTGAAGTGTAAATTGCACAGCTGTTAATATAATTTAAACTTACCAATTACTGTACATATACACACATACTGTATATATGTGTGTGTGTATGTGCCAGGGATGAGTATACTCGCCAAATATATATATAGAATAGTTGACAGACATGAAAGTACTGCAACACTTTGACTTAATTGAGACATTGAATTTTATTGGTACGAAATTTTCGGTAGCACCTACTACTTCATCAGCGTACGAGTATAGATGTGTATAAGAGACAGGGTAAAAGGAACACACCTGGCAAATCTTGGGTTGCTATTCTCACCTGGCCAAGTGGCCTTCATCACCCAGGTGAGATTGTCTTGAACAATATCGTAATAAGCTAATTTATGGTACGTTCCATCTGAGAATACAATAAAAAAAAATATAAATACAGTTCAAACCAGCTTAAATTAACAACATTCATTTAAAAATTGAAAGTTATCAAAATAGATTAGAGCATAAAAGTGACATACAACTCCATGTACAAATCTTGTGTTTATGTCTTGCGAAGGGATATTGCTGCTTTAAAAGTTGGCTGTTTGGCATATTCCTGGCCTTGTCCTAAAACAATTAATTAATAAATGAAATAAATTAATTAAAAATTTTAATTTGCTAATTCAACCACTTCCTTACATTGTGGTCTAAATTCACAAGTTTGACCATTCTAAACCATTCTGCCTCGCACTTGACCTCATGGGGTAAGTCCTGGCTGTAATTTCCTATTAAGGATTCATCTATGTATTCTTTTAGAAATAATAACTCAATAGGCATTCACTAGGCCAGGTCAAAAAGGAACATGAAAGAATTATATATTGGTGTTTAGGCAAAACAGTAGGGTGAACAGAAGACATAGAAAATTGGTATTTCTGAAATTGTCGAAAACTAACTTCAGTAGATTTCTATAACTAAAATTAAAATACATTTCAACGCCCCTATATTTTCGTTTGACTACTCTGTGTGCCATGAATCCCAGTATGAAAATTATTAAATTTGTACTTACTGATCATTCTTTCAATTTGCATTGTGGCCAGTCGATCACCAGTAGAGGAAAATACAACAGTACCCTGACAAAGCAACAAGAAAGCTCATAATAATCAAACACAAAGCTCATAATAATCAAACACACTTTATATTTATTTATTAAAAATAAAACTTATAGTCCAAAAGTGTGATGAGAAAATAACACGAGATAAAGTGTAAACTGTATGATTAATGTGGAGCAGTATATTTCATACATAGCTAAGGGTCGTTCAAATTATCAACATTTTCACAAGTGTACAAACAGCACATGTACTCATTTTTGGTACGTTTTTAAGTGTATAAAAAATGTTTTGCAAAACCATTCTTTATTGTGAAGTCAATTAATGTAATGTACCTGGCTGCTTAAAAATGAATATTATATCCATGGTTACATTATAATTTTAGTATTATTTTATATATTGCAAGTTATTTTGAATCAATATTTTTATATGTAAAAGTGTACAAATTTGTCTATCCCCTCCCTCCCCCCACCCACTAGCATAATGTTTGCACACATAGCAGTGGTGTAATAAAGAGGACTGGGGTCCCTGGCTATGGCTTCTTTGTGCCCTCTACCCTAGGAACTAGGTTTGGGTAGAGAGAGCGCAATGTGTATGGGCAGAAGCCCACCCCCCACTTTGGCGTTTTTGATATGCCACAGCCACCTTCGCTGGTATGGCCATCTTCAGCATAGTGAGGTAGACACATTACCAACGCATATCATAGACATTTCTGTCAACGGACCACACCCACAGTGTAAGTCACTTAAGGAGTGGTGGATGCTGGGAGGGGTGACTTCTGCAGATCCGAAGTAGTACAGTAACATACATTTAATTGTGTGGATTGCTACAGAATCTATCCCTGCATGCAGGGATCAACAGACCATAAACAATGACTCAATAAGCACCAGAAAGAACATTTTGCAAGGGCTTAAATTACTGTACATAATGGAAGTGAATTGAAGGTACAGTGTCTAAATTCCACTGTAAATTATCCTGTGACTTATTTACACTTTGAGGTTAAAAGAAGGTGTAGTGATTTGGTGCCAATTAGTACCAGTAATAATGATGGCATTAATACCAAAATACACCAAATATCATCTGTTGACAAGCAATAACATCATGTTGTCTTAACATCAATAGTACAACACCTCCCAAGAAGTTGTGAGCTCTACTCCATAAGAAATAACAAATTAAACATTTTACCGAAAGTCCTTTAAATCTTGAAGAATTGAGTGCAGAGTAGATCTCATCAGCCACTTGCTTATTGCCATAAGTATAGCTCTCAAGACTTAGACCCCGTTCTGCTAGACTGTTTGAAGTCCTGCAAAGGAAGCAATAACATGGTGGTAGCTAATCACCTGAAAACAGGGGTTCTAAAATGGCAGCCCGCAGGCCATTTTTGGCTCTGATTATTTATTTAGGGAAACATTAAACATTAACAAATTTCTAGATGTGTAATTACATCAACTAAGACCAGTAATTTGATATATACTTTTTATAAAATGTGCAATTCAATGAAACTTTTCTGAATTTTATATGTAGGCCTAACTTTTTAGTATATTTTGACTCAATTTTAATGTGAACTCTTTTAAAAGCTTTTAAATTAGGATAGTTTTTAATGGTTTTCTTTCTTACTTTTAATGGCTAATATGTTAACTTATTTTCAAATATTTATTTATTTTAATCTAAACATTTTAATACCATTAAAAATAATATCTTAATAACTCCCTATAGGCCAACTTTTAAATTACAATGCAATATATAACAATATCATAGAATATGTACTTGAGTTTTAATGTGCTTGTTAAATGTATTTTTTGTAATTTTCATGAGCTTTGTCAACACCACAAATTTCCTTTGGACCAATAAAGTTGTCAGTATTCAGTACTCAGTATTAAAGCCCCATTCCCAGCAAAATTTCAATTTTTAAGAAAAATCTAATTTTTGTATAATGTTATAAAGATTTATAAATATAATACGGAATTGCTAGTTTAACTGAATTTAGACATTCCTAAGAATGAAAAAAATGTAAAATAAGACTGAAATTTGATTTTTTGTGTTCCACACAAAAAATAAATGCGGATGAATTTTTCATGTTGATTTTGCGATAGGTGGTGAGAAGAAATATCGTAGGCGCCGAAAACATTAGCCTATCCAACGCTGCTGGCTAGGCCTAGCCTTACCTCGATTTTAGGTTCTGTTATCACACATAAAAACGGCCGACATGATATTTTCCGTTGCTAGTATTGACGCTTGTGAAATATAATATTTCATAGGAATTATTTCAAATTTGTTAAAAAACTGATTCTGACTGAGATTTTGACAAACATATCTCAGCCTAACTGAACGACCGTATTGTGCGAGATGCGAAGTACAAAAAGTAATCTCATTAGAGAGGGCGCACTTTATTGACTGTATAAAAGTATACATAAAAGCGAGAGTATTCCAGTGGATGCGATCTACAACCTCTGAATTTGCCTAGTAACGATGAATTCGTCCAGAAAATGGTAATATTTTATGAGAAATAGTCTGTATTTCTCTTTTTTTTTTATTCTTTTGCGTAAACTAAAATTCATGCCAATATTTTTCCATGATTTGTAATAATTAGAGTAATGCAAATGAATATTTTCTAAAAAAAGTCATTTTTTAGTGAAATTTTGCTGGGAATGGGGCTTTAAGTATGTTATACGGCATGCTAGAACAAGCCTAAAATAATATTTTTTGTTATGCTTAGGCCTATATATCTAACCTTAATAATGTTGCACTCTGTTTTTGTCGAATAGGCCTATATTTAAATAATTGTTGCTATGTAATCAATCAAATCAAAGAAATATAGCAGCAAATATCAAGTAAATTAGAAAACATGTTCAGGCCGCTCAACCCAGAGACTGCTATAATAGTAATAAGTTTTTTAAACAGTATTAGAAATACTCAATATAATCTATAAAATCACATGAGTCTCAATGATGATGGAAGAGCATCCATAAAATGCAATTTTGAAAAAATTAGTACTTTGTTGGAAAAAACAGAAAAATGCCTTCAGGAACATGGGTAAATGCTCTGAGTGTCGGTCGCACACTTTTTTCAGTCCTGGTGGTCATCTTTCATGCTTATTTTATTACATTGTATATTGGATTTGTGCAACTTTGAAAAAGAAAATTTCAGTTCAATTAATTCAAACTTTTAACATAATTATGAAATACAAATGTAAAATATTTTTCAATTTATCCATTAATTATCATAATTATTAATATTTTTCTTATCAGTCTAATGCGATCAAACTAATGTCTCCCTAATGTCTCCCTCTTTCAAATATAAATGTTATTGATTCAAAGGAATAAATCACCATGCAAACAATCGTAAATTAAGATTTACAAGATCCTATAATAAAAGTTGCTTTATTTGTGTTTCAAAATCGTAATTTACTTCATGATCATATTAATTCTGCATTTATAATTTTTATAAATTTACTTTCATTAGACTACAAGCTGGCTGATTGATAATTTGCCTGTCGGCTAAACAGTGGAATAGTCTTCTGATAACATTACCAGTATCTTAAATCAAATGTTTTTTTTTTATTGCAAGCAATTTCTTGTAAATGCAACTAAAGAATTAGAATCTTTTTTGTTATGTAGCATGATAAACGTTATTGAAATTACCTCCCAGTTAAAGAGCAACTGAAGATATAATACGGTACATGAATTGCAAGAGAACATTCCCACTATAAGTGTACTCAACGATTTTGACTTACTTATTCAAAGCTAATGCAATGGCCCATACTGCATCATAGCTAAGAGGGGATTCTGGGTAACCAGTAACATCAGATGGATTTTTGCCATGGAGGGCCACTGCCATACGTTCTTTAAATATTTCAGCATTCTGTAATTAAAATTTGTATATAAAATATGATTATTAGGTTAAATGCCAAATATCTATTTATTATGACAATGTAACATAAGATGATGATAAGATAAACTTGTCCATCAAAACATATTGGAAATTCGTACTCCATTTGGCAAAAAATATAAAAACACATTAATCGAAATACGTCACAATTTGAATTGCACTAGAAATTTAAATATAAAATAGTTTTATCAAAAGGCATTAAGTAAAAAATATCTGAAAACATCAGTTATATAAATATAAAATTGTAATTAATTGCATTTAAATAATATCAGGAACTTAACGGTAATGAAGAAAATTTTAGAGGATGCCACAAATTCAGAAAGAAAAAAAAATTGAGCAAAGTCATTGGCTATGTTCATACATGGCAGCTAACTGTTAGTAGGATCCAGATTACAAACATACGCGCTCACCCGTGCAGCAAAAAATCCTGATCCAGATATCAAGAAAGATTATGGTGGGATGATTGGTCAATAGGAAACTGGTAATGGGAAATGCATGTATTTAATTGGTTAATGATAAAAATCAGGTGTTCTCACACAGGTGCTAACGGTTAGCTCCAGATCCAGATACAAGGGCTCTAGTGTGAGCCTGACCTTATAAAGTTACAAAGACTCAAGAATCCAAAGAAAAAAGATTACAATTTATAAGATTTGTGCTATACTACTGTTGGGCATTTGAATTGTATACAAATTTGAGTATACACAAAATGTTTGTTACGATTTACCGAAAAGATGTCTGCACAAATCTGGAAGAAATCTATTGTAGCACCCTTTTAGGCATCTTACCATTAAAGGCATTTTCAAAGTTCATGTTTATGTCAATTAAATATAAAAAAAATAACAATTTTACACTAAATGTACAATCATTGAATGAAGAGTTGTCAAAGCACACAGTGTACTGTGAATTATCTTTTAAAATTTAGTATATTCAATATGAAGACTTGCCAGGTCTGTGCAAATTAAATAAGTTTCTGAAATTTTTATAAAGACTCTTTCTGAGCGGCATATTTTCAAATAATCTATTAAATAGTTTTGACTTTCTGCGTGGGAGTGTGTGGTGTGGGTGTATGTGCTGATATAGTGTAGAAACGGCAGAAAGAACCGGACCTCAGGAAAAATGAGACATTTTTAGGGCAAAATGGTTAAGTTGTCGCATAGGCCAGTATTGAGTAAATGAGCTATAAAATATGGAGCTCAAAAAATTACCTAAAATTCCAAAATTGTTTTTTATTATATATCTACACTTTAATGTCTTTAATAATCATTTCCCAAAGTATTATTTCTGGAAGTGGTCAACAAATTGTTTATTTAACGTTATTTTGATAATGCACAAATAACTTTGGAAGGCAATTACTCAAAATCATGTTTATCTTGACTCCTGTAGTGCTTTACTTTCACTTTCGAATAACTTAGGCCTGAAATGTTTAATTTCAATGAATAACTTCTCATTTACACATCCAAGTATCTGAAAAAACCAATGACTTAATTGAATTTCACTTTTTTGCTACAACTTAGCCATTTTGCCACATGTCTCAAATGATGTTACCTCAAAAGGACAATTTGGCATATAAACATTAGTGGTTGGTGAATTATTGGTCCGGCCATAACCAGACAAGCTGGACCACTTCTTACAGCCTTGAAGCTCAATACAAAAAGGAAATAAGCTTACATAAGTTTCATTACAAATTGTCAAGCTATACCCAAACATTAATAGAGTGGTAGATACCAGACTGTTAAAAAAAACCCTAGACGAGGCTGATTATGCATTTTTCTTCTTGGAATTTACAGTGTCTTTGGTTTTTGTTACCAAATGCATCAAGAGATAAACACCAGGGGGCAGATTTATCAAACTAGAAATCAGCTTAATTTGTCTTAAGTCCATTTTTTTCACTTTTGCAATGTTGTTTAGCTTAAAAATTGCTTAAAATTAAAAAGTTGATTGTATGCATGTGCTATCTAAGGCCTTTTAAGCTAAGATTTTGCTAAATGGTTAGATAAATCAGCTTAAGATATTTGCTTAGGGACATCTTAACTTTTTTGACTTAAGACATTTGATAATCTGAGATTGATAAATCCTGGGCCAGGATTGTAAATAAAAAAAATAAACTAATAACAAAACCAATATATAGTATAAATAAACATTAAAAATAAAATTAGTGGCTATTTAAAAGTTAACAACTATCTGCTGCCTCATTTTTCTTTCTTTTTTAAATACAGTACTAGCTGAAATTAAATGCTCTCTCCCTCTCTCATACTCTTTATATTGATGCAAATATTTATCCATGGTATTATGTTATGTTCAATATAATCTTTATATGTATGATCCATGGCAGATTGAACGGCCTGACAAAATTTAGAGATTATTGAGCTTGTGAATTCTGACAAATTTCTGATATATGAGAGCTTGGGTATAAGCTTGTGCATGGTGTAGGCGCTCTAAAAGCCTTCATTTTTTAACTGAATATGACAAGAGAATTCTATAGATGTAATCACCAATTCCTGAAGTGGGTAGTTGACTTTTTATCAAATCTTGCTTACTTACATTTTTCATTTCATATTTATTTACTATATATTTAATGTAATTCTGTAATTTAATCTGCACGCAAACGAAAACCTGTGCTTTCCATTGAGCACCTGAAATTTGAACAAAATTAGGATTGGTTGTAAAAAGATTTTCTTTTTCTTACACTATATTTATAGAAGGTGACCCTTATAGCTTAAGCTGGTATTCAGGGGCTACAATCAAAATAATCAAAATAATAATAATAATCAAAATAATAATGATAATAAAAATAATAATAATAATAATAATTATTATAATAATAATAATAATAATAATAATAATAATAATATGCTTTATAAACTATTATTACAAGATGTTTTTTTAGTTATGATACAACAAATCCTGTGCTGCATCATTACAATTTTCCTGACAAATAGGGGATGGCAAAGCTGTCTCTGGCAGAGTCTGACACCGACAAAAACCAGCATGTTCTAAGGACAAAGCCCTTCCGGGGCCTAGCTTGGAAATGTTAGGCTAGTTTTAAACTGTTCTGAGACATTTTAGCAGTTTTTCTCTTTTTTAACAAAGGAAATTTTTTTCTCCTTTTTAGTCTGACAATTTGGTGAATAGCCAAACACTGATGATCTACTGTACTGTATAGATGGTGCAATGATAATAATTGATTACTGTATCATATTCAACTCTAATGGATATTTATGGAGTCATTAATATGGGTCATTACCATAAATTTGAAAATATATGCAAGTAATCTTTTCAGATTAGTAATAAATTTAAAAATAGAATCCAAGCCGGAGCGTGTGTCTACTGCCTTATACAGGAGTTTTTGTTTTTAAAATTTTATCTTATGTTCTTCAATATGCAGATGTGTGTATTATTGTAGTGTATCTGGATTTTTCATGAAAATTTTCTTTCATAATATTCCGTATAGACCTACTACTATATTGCACTAAAAACACTTTAAAAATTAGTAACTCTTGGAGTTCCCACGTTATGTCATTGATCATGAAGAAGAGTACTACCATATTCTAGAGGGCGTCCTTCAAATGACGGTAAAAGGCGATCGTGGCGAACACGTGCTGCGTCTCAATAACGCGTGTTCGAGTTTCGAACGCAATTTTGTTGGAGTTCCGAACGCTATTCGTTTGTCAGTAGAGCGCCCCCTACCTCGTGGTAGTAGTACCCATAATGCCTAAACCGGATTTACCCTTTTCCGCCATCTTTAATTGCTACATCATGCCAGTGTCTACATCCCCGTTGGGGGCAGCAGACACAAAAATTGATTAGCTGTGTCAAAAACTTGATCCTAGTGACCTTATAGAAGCTATGATCATGCTTTGAGTGATTGGATATATTTTTTATGGATGTTTGAATGAATCCACAGGGTCCCAGTAATCTCGCAAGTTGCAGGTATTGTGGGTGTCCCAGAATTCGGGACAACCTCCTGCATTCTTGCAAGCAAAAATCTCCTGGATAACAATCCTACTTCTGCTAATTCATAATATTTTCTTTGTTTTTACTACTTTCCTATTATTTTGAAAGTACATTTTACCCAATTTCCCAGAATTGACTTCTTCCAACTTGGAACCTCTACATTCATGTCGACCACAATCACACAGAACCAGATGTGCTTTGGTGATAAAGCCAGCGGTGGCAGTGGTTTTGTTTTGCTTTTCTTTTTTTTTTTTGGGGGGGGGGGGGGAGGCATGATATCAAAGATCATAAAAATCCACTTAAAGTAAATAGAAAACGAGTAACGACTGAGCATCATTCATCACTGTCATTAGGCCTACAGACTGTGCCATGCCAGCAACAAAATGGAGTCTGGTCATTCCTTAATATCTATGCCTACAGACTATGCTTACCATGCCTGATATTGAAGGAGTCGGGTCAGGACTGAGCATCATTCCTTCCGTTGTGAAATGATTCTCCAGTGCAATCTTCAGTTCATCTGCAGTACAGTTGATATTCGGATCATATTCTGCGTACCAATTGTCAGGGTACCATCCAATTAGAAACCACACAATCTTGGGACCATACAATTTCTTTTTATAAGCCTAACAGAGAAAAGAGAAAATAAAAATCATATACTACAAAAGATTTTTGAACATTTCAAAAGATCTAGGTCTGTGCTATTGCTGTGTTCTTAGGTTGACCTAGGAATATCCATTTCATAGCAAATACGTTTGTGCTGCACTGGGAACAATGTCAACTGCAATATATTTCTAATATTACTAAGCTAACAATAATGGTTTGATTTATCAAGGTTAACATCCAGCGTGATTATTTTTCATTCAGTGATGAATAGTCTAACATTCATCAATGGCTGAATTACAACACTGAATATAGAAGTTAACTCTTTTAAAACAATAATTTTAAGCATGTGCAATAGTCTAAAGCTGGGCACTCAGTGTGTTGTAGGACGTCATACAACTGTCGTACAACAAGTCCAACTATCATCATTATCATCATTCTTTATTTCACTCATCATAATATACAAATATTGACTATTCATGAGGGGAATGGTGAAATCTATTGCCTAAGGTGATGTGGAGGCCCGAGGGATGATAGGCTATGGTCTCTACATCACCAAGGGTCAATAGATTTCACTGTTCCCCGAAGATAGAGCAGTCAATATTTGTTTTATATATCTCATTAATAGATTCAACGAGGCCTAAAAAAGTACTTACTTCCTAGCCTGTTATATTAGAGGCATACTAGGCCTACTACTACTTGACTAAATAGGCCTAGGCGATCAAAGAGTGCAGACCTACCAATCCTTGGGTCATGAAAATCTGGAGATTTTTTTAAGAATCTTAAAAAAATCTGGAGATTTCCAGAATTAACCAAAAGATGCAAGATACCAAAAAAGTCACGTCACTACAAATCATTGGCCATTGGTGGCGACATTCAAATTGAAAATTGTTGCTTGTTTATTGCACCGCGAAGCGAGCTGGCGACGAATATGTTGAATAATAACGATCAAATCAATCAAATTATGCATAAATCGGAGTATTCATTTTTTTTGGGAGGGGGGGTCAGGTGGCCTGTGAAATCGGGTGAAAATTACATTTGATCGGAAGCGGAACTAAAGATTTGTTTAAATATCGGGTGACACCCGACAGGATTGGGCGAGGTGGCAGGTCTGAGAGAGTGTTTGCTTATTTCCTCAATTTCAACAGAACCCATCGCAATATATTTGTCGAATATTGATAAGACATATTTAATTTGTCTTTTGGTGCTTTTGCTATTGGCTTCATTAAGAAGTAATGCTAGGCCTAGGCTAGTCCTTCTTCATCTCGAAACGAGCAGCCTCCACATTTGTTTATCGTCTACTCACTGATCCGTGACGTGGTCAGGGGATGATCTTGTCATAGAGGTTGCAGTCCCCTTTACCATCAGCAGCGCGATGTAGTGGGCTTAGAGATTGCACATCACGACAGGTCAAAAAAGTACTATTTTTGAGGGGAATAGTATCCTTTGTGTGCGCTTCATGGCATTGCGTTCTTCATAGAATTGCGTAATTGTTTCGTAGCGATATTTTAACCAATTTTTTAACCAATTCTTTAAATAGTTAAAGAAACTACGATAATTTTTTTTTTTGTCATTAATGTCATCACCGAGGTCACGAGGATTCGCCTCGGGCAACTTTTAACCGGCAAGTTTGGTGGGTTGGCTAACCTGCTTTTCGGCCAGATGTTTTTTTAATTACCCCCGTTCATACTACCTTCGAATTATATTCCCGCTAACATTCAACGGGTAAAAACATAAACATGAACGAGCCCATGGTAGATGTGTCAAGTGAAAGGTCACCTGGAAAACATCAGTGACGACAGTAGCAGTGATGAAGCAGATCATGTGCATGCATTGAACTTATATTATAACATGTTCAATCTAATGAGAAAATCTTTCACTTTAATGTAGAGGTTAATGATGCAAACATTGATATGATAACTGACACATAAGCAGATAATGTCGAGTAATATTTATAAAAATTATTTTAGTCATTTGTGATTCCGTTGTGTCAGTTAAAATAAGTTAATAGAGGTGAATAAGCTCATATAACAACAGCAACAACAACAACAATAATGAAATCCTTCTTTTACAATGGAGGAAGCTCGTTTACCAAGGCCGTGTTCTTCGATGATGAAATGAGATTAACTAATTCTAAACAAAATGTACTGGAAAGATGAGATTCTGGAAAATGAAAATGCACCAGCAAGACGAGAGTGAAGCGATTTGGTTGTCAGAATCAGAATTACTGGGGAGTAAACCAGTAAGTGACAAGAAATACAGCTTGCCAAAGGCAAATGATTTATTATGTAAAACTTTCTGTCAAAATGCATATTTACAAAGCTTTCTCCATCGCATGCATATATGCAGTTAAAACATCAATGAAAAAAAGCAAACACAACCATCAATATGCAAAGACGTGAAAAATTCTGTTTTTTATGCTATAGTAAAAAACCAGCAGCAAAGCATTTCCAAGAGAAAAGGGATAAAATGGTAAAAGGATTTGATAATTGTTTTAATAAAACCAAAGGTATTTATACATATTCATATAAATGTTAACTAGTTTTAAGTCAGAATGCTAGAATTGTAATTTGTAAGTTGCTGGTCAATTCCTCATCTCATATCTTTTTGCTCCACCTTCCTTGTTGTAGCACTTAATTCTGGTTGCACTATATACTGTAATGCACAAGTGGGCAAAGTGCGGCCCGCGGGCGGCATGTGGCCCGTCAGGGCTTTTTTTGCGGCAAGCGACAATGAATTAAATACCCTATGTTTGCGGCCCGCCAATCAAAATTGGCTAGAAACACCTTGTTTTTTGCGGCCTGACTCCAGTCATAGGTAAAAAGTAACATTAAAACTGAGAATAAAGTTATGCAAAAGAAGTGCTGGGGGGTTTTTTGGAAGCTCACTGGAAACATCAAAGTTTGGGCACTGCCCTCGGTGTTAAATCAAAAATTCACTTAGGCCCTCCGTCTGATTTTTATGCCCACCCCTGATATAATGGATCTTTCAAACTCAACAACTGACCAATCAAGAATACACATAAGTCCCACAATTAACATTCAGCCATGTTTCAAGATTCACGAATCAATGTTCATTTATTGACTTGTCGATAAAAAAACACAAATGTATATTAAACTGGAAATTTTTTGTTCGAATACACACATTGCCAGGTACAATTTAAAATACTGCATATTAAAATATTAAGTAAAACACACAACATGTTAAAATATTCCATGTTAAAAAGATAGTAAGAATCATTGTAAAAGATTATAAAAGATCCTACTGTGAAAAAGGACAATCATTAAAACAGTAAAAAAATAACAATCATTCAAACAGTAAAAAAGAGACATCACAAAAAAAAAATTCCTGGCAATAGAATCATTTAAAAAACAATCTTTACAGATGATTGTCATTTGTGACCGGTTCTGGCCAAACCAGTCATTTGTAGGAACAAGAGCGACTGCTCACCAGGTCCGCGCGTTCCTCAATGCTTAAATAAGTTATTATATTCGGGTTTTGAGAAGAGCTAATAAGATAGAAATTTTTAAATAATTAGAATGTTTAGTTGTACAAAAAACATTATTTAGAATGATCATTTGTACAAAATTTAAAAAATAAATTGGAAAAAAATTGAATACCAAGACGTATTTCGAACTCACAACCTTAAGTTCTTTAGAACACACCCTTAACCGACCACGACATTCATGCGACATGCCCTATTAGTGGTAATGGCAATAATGTACAGTAATTTTTAAATAGTTAGAATGTTTATTTGTACAAGAAAAAAAAAACATTACATAGAATTATCATTTGTACAAAGTTAAAATACTTAAAATTGAAAAAAAATCTTCATTAAAAAATTGGACAAAAAAAATTGAATACCAAGATGCGCTTCGAACTCACGACCTTAAGTTCTTTAGAACACATCCTTAACCGAAGGTCACGAGTTTGAATCGCGCCTCTGTGTTAATTTTGTTTTAATGATCATGGATGACAACTATTTGACAAAATGAAAAAAAAAAATTACACGATTCAAATTTGCTAAATACGCGATTCGAACTCACAACCTTAAGTTCCTTAGAACACATTCTTAACCAACCGCGCCATTCATGCGACATGCACTATTACAGTAGTGGTAAATGGCAGTAATGTACAGTCCTTGCTGAAACAAAATTTCATGCATGTCCATTCAAAACTGGCGACGCTGGACGCTTTTAAAACTTTTAAAGTTTTGGTAACAAGAACAAGAAAAAGAACAGCAGTGAGGCTCTGTGTCAGCGCTCCACGTTGACCAAAAATTCAAAATCAACGTTTTGGTATTTTAAATTCTGCATGAATTCATCTTCAAAATAGTGTTTATTTGATGGAAATTGGTTGAGTAAGCAAAGTTATATACATTTAATTCGTTGAATATGCCACATGTAGGTTTAGAGAAAACAGCTTCCAACATCGCCAAAATCATGTTTGTTATTATTCTTCTTTTACAAAATACTGTGTAAAATCTGAAAATGTTCTGATTCTCAAGCATTTTGGGTACTTGGGTGAAATTAGAATTTGCGACAAACGGTGGGTTTTGCCAGAGCCAGTCTCATTTGGTCAGACCTTAATTAAAAACAGACATGCTGTTACTATCCTATTTACCAGCAAACCCTTTAAAAGGGCATTCAGGCGGGTTGGTGAACCAGGTTTTGCCAGAATCTTATCTCAGTAATCCAATTAAACATCAAAGAAGAATACCTCTACTTAAGAGTCATTATCACAGCAGGCATTGCTGTTTCTCAATAAATTACCAGTATAGTATTTAAAAACCAAGCTGGACAAATTTAAAAACCTGTTGTTCAAAAAAATTTGGCATTTTTATTACTTTAGCTATAATTTCAGATAAAAATCATAATAGATATGCTTTTGAATTTTAAAAATCAATGACTTATGTTAGAAGTTACAACATGGTTTTTGATTTAATTGTGCTAGTCTTCTTATCAACTATTCACAACTAATGAGCTTCACTATTAATCTTGTTACAAAATTCCCTGAAGCAGTAATTAATAGAGATAAAGGCTACGGTCACACTAGCGTCTCAAGCCTGGCTTGACTCAACGCGGGTGAGATTTCAAGCCAGGCTCGAAATTCTGGGTCGGTCACACTAGTTGGATTGACCTCCAAATTATGAAAGTCGAAACAGCAGAGCGGTAAAGAGAGAGTTTGGCCAACTCTGTTTCACGGGATTCGATATACGCGTGTGTGATTGGGTGGATCGCAATCAAAGATTTTACACCAGACGTGCCCGAACCACTCTTCTTCAACTGATCTTTTATCAGCTTGTACTGGGCTCGCAATGCTTTCACTTTCGTTTGAATTTGGTCCGTCGTTCTCTTCTCATGTCCGAAACTGTCTAATCTGTCAGCAAGCACGCCAAAAATTCCCGTTTTGTTGTTTGTTTTTTTATTTTCTATCCGGTCCCTCAGCTCGGGTTGGCCCCACAAATCTACCAGGTCA